CTGACTGTTAATCCATTTACCTAACTGTAAACATCGTGTAATTAAATCCCACCACCAGATTACATCCTATCTCTAGGTGCAAATTTGTCTTGTCCCCAGTTCTGTTCGACTTATTGTTTCTTGTTGGTCAGCGTAGCCTTAATGTCTAACCAGACCCAACTTCGCTCTGACAAGCCCCGACTTGTTTCTAGCAGGGGCCCCTTGAAGCTTTGACCAAACTGTAACAACTCCCCCCTTTTGAGCATTCTTCAATCTTCAATTGCAAGGATGCTCAAATCTTTCTGTTGTCGCTTGTGATTCTTCGGGAGGAGAATCGCCATCTGGGAGAAGGACTTCTTTTCGAGTCAGCGCCATCATAACTCGCCGAGTGTGTTGTCCTTCCTTTGCGAGTATTCCTAAGGGACACTTATATACTATTAAAGCAAGAAGAATTATTATGCTAAACATTAAAACATATTGAATGATGGAAGACAGCCATCCTGACATAGGGAGACCGAGGGAGCTGAATAATTCGCCGATCCAATTATGTTCTGCTTCTTGTTGTAAGTTATGCACGTTCCCCTCAATTTGTTCTAATTGAGAAATATCATTTTCAATCTCTTGTGTGACATTTGGGATGTGGACACAGCAGTGTTCGTCCCGTGCGTGCAGGTATCCGCAAACCCCATGTTGTTTCAACAAAATTAGATCTAATGCCATTCGGTTTTGTATAGTCATGCGTGTGGTTGCTTGTAATTGAACATTCATATCACGAAACCCTTTCTTGGTAGCTGCAGCCAATCTTTCAGTTTGTTGCATTAGTTTAAACAGCATTTCTCTATTGCGATATGATGCTATCGGTGCGAACAAAGATTCCATTACCCACCCAAATTTTACTCCGTCTGACGGGTTATGCCAATTTTCAGAGTCTTGTTCTGTATCCCTCTTTTGCCTAGGTTGCATGTCAAGTGTGGTCAATTTTCCTGATTTCCAGAATGGGCAAAGCGTAGGAACACCTAAGGTAATTTGTGTCGCCGGTCCATCTACGGGCATGTGAGTGGTCCATTGTCCATGTCCCATTACCCAGACTAAATTTCCTGGACTTGCCACTGTGGTAGTTAGGCAGTCGAAACTACGTAAATTGGTGTGACCTGTTGTAGAGTGATTATACCCACGACACTCACAGCCTAATTGTAAAAGCGTTCTTACCGGGACTAAGCTGATGTCATTATTGGGAGTGTCACATGTGTAAATTCGAGTGCAGTTCCA